GTTAAAAGCAATGATTAACTTATTTATATTTAGGATATTCCTAAAAATCTATTCTAACATGTAATGTTGTCATATCTTACACAATCATAAACTATGGTTATAAATTCTTCATAATGTATAAAATTCCTGACTTCTGAAGTTAATGTTAATTATTTCCACATTAACTGGAACTATTCTGTTGTTCCAATATTTAAAATGAAATTTGCACATTCAACCCAATATTGGCTACCACATTTACATTATATCAGCGTTATTTAACAAAACACAATGAAATGCTGTACTGTAGCTTAATTGAAAAAAATGTGACAAAGCCATACATGTTAACTGTTATAGAATTTGATTGATTATTAATAAGAAGAACAAGAAGAATAATACCAACAAATACAAAGAGGGCAGAATTTAAAATAAGGGCAGAAACATCTGATTTTGAAGAGATTCAATCAATGCTGAATTTGTAGATCATGCCAAAGCAAAGATTGAGCTGAGCTTATCTGTTATCTCTCAATTTGCAATTACCGGCTCAGAGAATCGCTACAGCCCTGGCATCAGGAGAAATTAAGTGTCATTGACACTGGTCACGCGCACTGTTAGACTTAAACTCTAGAAGCCCAAAGCAAAAATTCCTCATCTAACAAGGGAGAAGGACATTGAACCACTAGAGAGAACCACTGCCTTGAATCGACTATGCCCTTAGAGAAAACCACTCAGTACACTGAGACATGGGCTACAGGCCCAGACTGTGCTCTGAGTGGAGGCTTCTACTGTTTCAGCTACCTGTTTAATGCTGTTTCACTGTGTTGCTGGTGATAAGCAGTTTCTTACAGACATCTTAATCCTTCAGTATTGCCTAAACTTCGCTCTTACTATATGCGATACAGAACAGACAGAATCAAGATCAGGCTTAGATATGAGACAAAAGGCACAAAATATTTAAAAAATTAGAATCCACAGCTTACTTGTTATATTCAAGTTGTTCCAAAGAAAAAATGTGCTTGTTGAAATATTCCTGAAGTTTCTCATTTGCATAGTTTATATTGAACTGTTCAAAGCGATTGACCTGTGAATAAAGAAATGTTCATGAAGTAAATGATGGTGCCCTCAGAGTCAGGGAGGTTTGCATTGGCTCTTAAATGTCGTTTTTTGTTTACATAAAAAAACAGTTTAGGATATATCAGCTAATTGAAACTAAGTTTAGGATATATCAGCTAATTTATATAGCATGATTTTTAAGAAGCAAACTAAGATAGTTAAGAAAATATTCAAAGAAATGTCATGTTCTAAATGTTTAATCTGATTTGAATCACCAATGTGGCTTTTGAAAAGATTTTGATAAAGTGTACTTTATCCACATTTTATATAAATGGACTTACTGAACACTGCAAAAACAGAAAATAATTGATTACTTTTCCTAATCTGCCCTGTTTGAAACTAATGCAGACAAGTGTTAAGGTCACACAATTCTGGTGTGATTTATTAACTGTCATGCCAATATAAACATAAAAAGATCAAAATCAGAAAGCATATAGTAAGCAGGGGAAAACCATAAAGCCAAAGCCTTTTAAAATTATTAATATTTACATGTCAGTGCCTGAGTAATATGATATCCTGATTCTTTTTCTAGAAAAACGACTTTGCTGCGGGTCATAACTTTAAAAGATTTATACATTTGCACTTGTTGATCTCCAGAATTTATGATCAAACATGTCAAAACTCATTTTCTCAGTGCAAGGTTTAATGGCTTCATCTGACCTACCTCAAAGTTTTCAAATCCAAATATATCCAGAATCCCTATTGACTTGAAGTCCTCCTTTCCTCTTATCCTGCTGTTGAGTTTTCTTATTATCCAGGTAAAACATTGGGAATAAAGTGCCATAGCCATGGAATCTCTGGAGTCCACTGCCTGTTTGGAAAGCAAAGCCAGTTGACCACAGCACTTGCAAGGTTTGAGATACCAACTAAAAAAGTCACGAGTTAGCCTTTGATATTAATGGAATAGGGTCTGTTTGTGATTTCCATAACAAAAAGTAAGAGAAAAAATGCCCAAGAAAATAAATCTCACCACCAGCTGTAACTATGATGCATCTTAAACAGCAAAACCTTATGTGTTTAATTAACACTTTTAAACTATCAGGATCAAAGAAGACTCCCTAGATGGTTGCTCTGATGTCCCAGGGCTTGGGAATGTATGTTCTTCTTTGAGTTGTGATGTGGCTTTCCTCCTCTGTATGTTCCATCAATTGAATGAATCTCGCCAAAGGGCTGAAGTGTAGCGAGATAGAAATGCAGTGGTGTTTTGAAGTGCAGGAAAAAACTAATTGATCCAAGCCAATTCTTAACATTAACATGGCTGGGTAGATTGCTCCAGACTCCAACAGCCCCATATGGAAAAACCTGCCTGCTGATCTCTCTGTTTTAAATGCACTTTTCTGTAGCTTCCACTTTTGTCTTCTGGTTCAAATTTCACTTCTGATGCTGAGGAAATCAGTTGGGTTAACTTTTCTCATTGTCTTAGAAGACTTAAAATAGTTTTATCAAGTCCCCTCATAGTCTTCTCTGTTGAATACTAAAAAGATTCAGTTCTTATAGCCTGCTAGTTCCCAACATTCCTTTAAATCCAGTAAAGGACCTATTTACTTTTGTCTGGACTGATGCTTAATTTCCCGAGTGCCCCTTTGAATATCTGCTGATGTTTGTGGACAAGATCAGGGTCTCGAATGAGCGATGACGCTGTTTAAATTCATGCCGCTGAGCTGCCGCTCTCACCTGCTCCACAGTGAGTGGTGTCGAGATCTCCTCTCCCCTGAGAATCATGGACCTGTGTGTGAGCACCTCAGCAAGCTGTCCTGAGTCCAGCCCAAGAAGCTCTGCCGCTCTGCCCAAAGCTTCAAAGTGCAAAAACCATGACAATGCTGTTGGTTTTCCATCTACTGTACAACCAGCTGCAAGTTCTCAGGACCTGGTCACATTTTTCTCTTCTGCTATGTCTTAACGAGTGATTAAACTCCACAATATACTGTAGACTACGTTCTTATGCCTATATTGTATATCTATAACATCTACAGTATTATGCCTAAGATGGAACACTGTTTTATTCAACACAACTGCATCTACAAGTTTCTGGAGTCATTCCACTTCCACCTACTACAATTTACTGACAGTGGTTTCAACTGAACACTGGCCATCTTTAAGCAGCAATTAAAAATAATGACAAGTAATAGGTTTATTCCATGCTGAAAAGAGAAGAAACTAAACACAATGTTTTGGCTCTGGAGCCTTCTTCGGGTGTGCATCTGGGGGTCCTGTTTCTTTTCTTCTCTTTTCAGCGGGGAATTAACCTTTACTTGTTCCTTTGTGGCCTACACATGCTGACGCAGCTACCCACCTGAACTACACTGTTTTTTTAGAGGATCTGATCTATATGTAATCCAGGGAATATTAATCGGGTGAACAGGGGAAAAATATACAAAGTGTCATAACACTGATAAGCCTTTTAAGAAAGGAAAGAGAAAGCCATGGACCTCACAAAGCGTTTACTGACCTGATTTTGAGGAGACCTGTGCCCCGCCTGCCGTCATGAACTCCACATTTCCTATGTGAAGAATCCCAGCCAAGAGCCGAAGAATTTCTTGGATGTTCTCTGCACTGAACTGCATTGTCTTCATTGCATTCTTAATAGAGACACAGGGATCACAGTGAGGTGTGTAGATGAAAAAAGCATGGATGCAAAATCTTGATTTTCTATGATTTGCAGGACACTTTTAGCAAAATGGAAATACAACCAACTCCCTGGCTACCTAACTCACTGACATTCTAAAAATACATTTTATAAGGAAAAACAAGGCTGAGGTCGTGCTCCTTCATTCAATTCATTCTTCTCCTGACCCGAGCACCATGGAACACCTGTGGGACGAACTTGCCAGTTCCTCGCTATTAAGATGAGACAACTGAGCCTCGGCAGTCTTTGCCAGCTGGCTGTCGTTCTCACAGCAGTCTAACTATAGCCCGACCAAGGCTGCCAGGACTGTGTTAATGTTCACAGAGGCTATACCCAATGCTAACCTTTTAAATATGTTCATTTTGATAAGCATAAAGCACATTACATACTGAAAACTGACTGGTATGTTATTCACAATTTCTGTCTTTTTGATATCTATGTTCAAAGTATTTGATTAGACCTAAGGGCTGCATTTTTTGTGCCTCAATTTATTACTATGTACCTTGCACCTGATAAAAACTTGGATACTTATATGGTCTGCAATTCAGTTATTTTAGATTTACCACTTCCTTTTTGACTTTTTATTATATCTAAGTTTTAATCAGCGTTCTTAATCAATGTGGTTCGCCTACACACTTGCTCAGGAGGGATGAGGACTGTTAACTCTTGGACCTGCCATTGGTACTCTGACAGACACAGCTCTTACCGAACCTCAATGACGAACTTTAATGGTCACTACAATAAGACGTGCCAACAGAAATCCTGGCCTACTGAAACCTACTACAAAACAGAGACTTTTGGCCAATTGGACACACCAATTTGGGTGCGAGAGCTGAATTTAACTCGGCAAGGCTCTACATGAGCATTACAACATCCCGAGTTGCCCAACAGATTGCCGAGTCTTTCATAATACAACACAAATCTTCTTTGTCGGCTTAAGCTCCTAGATCTAACAGAGCAATTCAAATGATGTATTAGCATGTGCAACTGCCTTGAAATGAGCTGTGGCTGAGCTGTGAATATGTGATCATTCATTCTTCTGTAGCACTTACCAGAACTTCATGGAAAGTGTTTTTGTCATTGATTGTCTTGTCTTCAATGCACCCAGACTGTTTAAGGTAATAATAGCTGTCAGGTTGGGACAGATAAAATGCTTCTGCAAAACACAAACAGAGTTAAGCAGTTACGATAATTCAACGCCTAAGAGCCTGCCAGTCTTTCAACAAGCCTTTTGAACGGGCACACATACAGGGTTGTTTTCAACATTTCTTCTCTGTACCAAACGTGAATCAGCCACCTACTACGAAATGTTAATTTTCTGGGGGTTGCAAATTAGTTTGAAATAATTCTACGAGTATTTGTTGGATTAAGACATTAAGACTGACATTACCATTGCAAGCAAGTCTCTGTGATAAAGAACAAGCAGGCTATTGATGGAAAGTAAGATGCAAAAGCTTGGCCAGATCAAATTGTGAGCTTTGAAAGCTTTAAAGTGCACCACAGCTGACTTTCTTAAACAAGCGACAGTGTTGCTTCTTCTTGTGCTGCCAAGGCTACGTGTGGTTTGGTCAAAGGAGGCAGTCCAGTGTTGTAATGGGGTGCAATGGCACATACATCCTGTCTTATTCTCACCTCTTTGCTCTGCATTGGTTCCTGCCAGCAGAGCGTAAAAAATGTGATAGTTTCTCTCACCGGGGTTATGTCTCACCACGCGGTTCTGCAAGGAAACAGAAAATACAGCTGCATGTGAAAAGATAACTGAACCTCAACAATAAGACCCCAGCGAGTCCTGCTTGCAAATGGCTGAAGAATATACTGCAGCAATGAGCCTTACCTTCTCTAATAAATCTTGGGTTGAAAATAACAATTAAGGCAAATGACACAGTGTGTGAAGTTCTATTGGGTGAAGGTTGTTTAAACAAACAGTCGAACTGTTTAATGCATCCGTTGGTGTTTTGTTTTTCAAGGAGGCGCTCGAACTGTCAGATTATCTGCTTCTGGCTCAAATAAAGGTCATGCAAAATATGTCATCCAATTTTTTCATTTTGAAGATTACCGACAGATTAGTATCATTGCATAATATCTCTCCGTGTAGGTGAAGGGTGTCCTAGATCTGGAGAACAAATGACTTACTGGCATAATTGAGGGGAAATAGAAATGGCAGGATTTAGCGCTATTTTCCAGTCATGTGCTCTACATCTATAAGGAAGAGTGAAATCCAGCAAAGCTCTCCTTACACAACAAGGAAAGACTTAAATCCATTATTTGATTATCCAGTAAATACTTTCCATCTAATTTAAATCCTACACCTTTTTAGTAGCATGTCATTATCCTGCCCTTAAAAATATAAAAAAAATAATTTTACATTTTCTCCTCCTCCTTGACTGTTATACAGCTACAGGCCAGTACGCAGCATTTCAAACTGTATACTGTACAGATTTTAAGAGGTGCAGTTTTGAATGTGTGGAATTTTTTTTGTCAATCCAAGTACTGGACATCTTGGATAGAAGGTCAGGGGGTGTTTTCTAAAAACAGTTCTGTTATAACAATAGAATGGATCAGGACTCATGGCTACCAGCTCTGTCAAAATTAACTGCTACCTCCTCACTTAGGAAAACTTTCATGAGCAGCACTTTTACATAAAAAAGGATACAATCAACGATTTTGCCTCCCTGAATGTTCCCCTTTTGGCAAAAATTCAGCTGTACAAACTTCCCAAAGCGGCTGGAATTGTTGTTGTAAACAGTTTTGGCATTTCCAAAAGCTTCCATGATTGGGCTGTAGGATAAATGAAAAAAGATAAAACGACATTACTAAAACAAAATGGCAAACAAAGTCATGTCAGACTACTGGCAATTGTTTCAGAATAAGTAAATAACCTGAGGACAAATAGTAAATACTGTAGACATCATTGAGCACATTTAATAAGCAAACCATTTTATAAAGTTTAATAAAACATCTTTACAAGGTTAAGGAGTATAGTACCTTTATTAAAAATCAATTTTTCCTTGTGTCAATTTAAGCATTATGGTATACACACTAAATCTTTAAAATTACAACAAAGCTTTCAGGGAAATCACAGAGGGTGAATGTATTCAAGGAAAGTCAACATAATGCACGATGAGACTAGCATCATTCTTTATAAACTACAATGGAAAGATGTTCAATTTTACAGTAGTACGTAAAATGTGTTCTTGACTGAGGTAACAGAATTGATACAGATTTCGAAACCTAAAGCATAAATATATTGAAAAATGGTGTTTGATTTAGGCCCAATGACCCAAAGAGCTCAGGGCCTTCCTTCTCCCACAAGATGGGGGCATTGAGGCAAGCTGATAAGAATATCTTTCACAGAAATTTTAATGTTTTCCTAACTCTTATGAGTTGAAGAAGTTCAAGTGGGTAGCTGCGTCAGCATGTGTACAGTAGCCTGCAAAAGACAGGTAAAGGTTTATTCTATGCTGAAAGGAAAAGACAAGAGACACACCATTTTGGCTGTACTGCCGTCTTCAGGTGGACACAGCCAAAATGTTGTGTCTCTTTTCTTTTTCTTTCAGCATGGAAAAAAACCTTTACCTGTTACTTATCTCTGTGGCTACTTGCACTATGCTTGGCACAACTGTCCCGGTCGCAGAACACTAATATTCCCACACCTGCTTTCCAAAAGGGCTTGTTCTACATGGGATGTTTTTTCCTTCGAAGTGACTTCCAGTGAGTGTTGACTCATGGCGGAGAGGAACTTGAGGATCAACTTTGTGCTTTCTGTCTTGCCAGCACCACTTTCTCCACTGAAAAACAAGAGAAGATATAGATATATAGATGTATAGGCTGCTGAAGTACTACTGACAGCCTTTCGAGCCATTGCTGCAAGCATTGAAGTCAGGAAAACTAGCCGCGAAGTCAGGACAATTACAAAAAGTTTATAAATAATGCGCTCATTAGGAGAACAGACATTAATTAAATCAAAGTCATGATTGGGATGCTGATTACGTGCCTTTAAAACTGGATTTGGTCAAAACTAGAACACAAAGCAGAATTCTCATATGTTAAGATAGTACACTGTATTATCCGTTTAGTTCATTTACACTAAACTACACTAAACACAGCTCATTGTAATGTGTACAGTAAATAGAAAACCTAAGTCTCCTTTGTGGTAAAACATAGCTTCATAAATACAATATATCATGCACTAAAACCTGGGGACATCTCACGCTACAACGTGAACTCAGATTCTGGCAGTTCTATAGCATAAACTGATTATTTGCTGAAATGTTGGAGCATTTCCATACTGTGTGCAACTGAAAACTTACATCTTATTTCCTTTTTGGAGGTTGAAAAGATGTAAATGAAATTCCTATTTAAAATGTCTCTATTAAACAGGAGGCTGCCCACTAGAGGGCAGACATTGCTCTGTAAAGAAGTTAACAGGCACATGATATAACCAAAAAGGTCACACTCAGCTCATGCAAGTGAATCATGAACGATTCCATCTTAAGTCAGAATTTTGGCAGATAGAACATATGAAACAAATAAGTCTTTTAAAGAAGCAGACTGTGTCTCTGTGCAGCTAGGACTGGAACATTACTGAGTACTGCAGAAAGGTTATCTATTTGGCTCTGAAAACTATCAAATGCTATGATATTCAATTTCAAAGTATGGCATGCGGTCTCAAACGTAAACTTCCAGATATCCTTACACTCCAAAACCATAATTCATTAATGAATTGTTAATACAAATTCCTTGCATTTATATAGCATTTTTTTAATATAGCCTATGGCATCTCAAAAGTCTTTACATACACTTCCATCACCACATTGTTGCCATTATGTGCTGACAGCCTCACTAAGCGGCAGATCAGGTAAAGAAGTGAAAAACTACTTCACCAGCTTAATCAAGGGGGCTCTATAGGTAGGTCAGATTATATGAGCAAACAGCATAATTAGCCGCACCCTTACTCTAAAAAAGTAGGCAAGACCTCCTTTTAATATGTCTCCCCCTGAAGGAGGTGAATTCTGAATTGTAGCCTAAAGGAAAGGGAGCCTCCTACTTCTCCACCAACACCACCACAGCACAGCCTGATGTTCCTTGGAGGTCTCCCATCTGAATACTGACCAGTCCAAACCCTTGCTTAACTCTGACAAAATCAGACTACAAGGTGGGCATGCTACAGTGCCGGTCTATTAGACATCACATACACTTATTTGACAGTTAAATATCCTCCATGTTTGCTAGACAATCACTATAGCAAGTTAAGATTTTAAGTTTAATTAAACTAGGTTAAACTAAACTCATTTAACTAATACAGAGAACAACAATTCCATAGATATTTACAAATGGCAGTGCATTGTAAAATGAATTAAAACTTAACAACATTTATTAGGTTTTAGAAATCATTCTTACAAATGAAAGAATGAGAAAGATAATGAAAAACTAAAGAAAGATAATTGTTCTGAAGCACAGCGAGTCAGCTTTATGCCTGCTCTTAACTAGAGTGACTCAATAATTGTTGAACTGACACTAAACCCAGGTTTAACATCATTCAGTTCAGCCTCCTTATGTAACAGATGATAGGAAGTGCCAAGCAATCCCAGTAAGAACCCCCTAATCTCTGTTGTTCACATCCAGCCATGGGCATCTTGTTTCAAGGCATGGAGAATACAGTCTAGCTGCGTATTTCTGTCACTCCAATAGGATCATTTTCAAGTCTGAAAAAAAAAACAGCTTTCTTGCCTTTTGGGTGTGAGGGCTTGATAGTGGGTCTTGGAAACTTTACTGCACAAAAGCAGCCTATAATTATGATCTGTAACTGTGCGCCAATTTGAGAGAAAAAAAAATGTTTCCAACAACCAACAACCAGCAAGTGCACAAACAAAGCAGCCAGGCCAGTTAAAAACCAGCCAGGTGGTAGGCATGCTTATTGTCAACACTGTTATCTGATGACCCCTGTCTTTCCAGTCCCAAATGAATAGCTCACATAGAGGTTTAATTTAAAAGATCTTGAAGAGAAGAAGTGTTCTCTCTTCCCGTCACATTATATTACAGAAATAATTTAAAGGCAGTACAGCAGCATCACTGACATAGACTTTCACATGTACAAAATATCTCGGAGAACAAAACACACCATGTGTGTGGGAGATACGTAGGTTATATTTGACAACATTACACAAAGACAAAACATAATATTTCCCAAAACGAAACAGTCATCTGCCTTGTAAAAAAAAACAAATCCATTCTGCTTTCTCTGAAAAGGCCTTATTTTGAGAATAAAACCTGCTATTTATCTTTGACTGCAAGAGGAATCTTGTATTTTTTACTGTGAAGGCCACACTGCACAACACTCCCCTGTGAGACTCCTGAAGAAGTTCTGGACAATATCAGAAACTTTTCAGGAGAACAAAAGGCCTCCAAAACCACTGCTTCTTATTTCTGTGTGTGTATGCATAGAGAAATTTAACTCCTTTAAACAGAATGAAGTCACAGTCAATTACAGTATGTTAGCTGTCCCTCTGTTCTGATTTTGGACTGCACTGATAGCTCTACGCCACTTATTTGTAATACAACAAACGATTAAACAAACTTCATCAAATTAAAGTAAACAGCTTCATAAATAAATCTGGCATGTCTTCAGTTCAGAAGTATATTATTAAATTAGGTCACATTCAGGCTGTTCCTTTATTCTTCACAAATACTACCAGATGGGCCCAGTGAATGGTCTATGCTCTGGAATGCGGTCTATAAAAATATTTATATTGAACACAGAAGTGGGGGTTGCAGTGGAGCTTGAAGCTTTTTGAAGGAAAAGTAACATTTAATAGCCTGTTCATTTATACAATGTCAGAAAAGATGTAGACGCTTGTCATGCAGTGCTTTTAGGGGGTGCAAAAATATACCAAGGACTGAACACACATAAAAAGCCATGCTGCAGAGGGATAACGCACTGAACACAATGAGAGTGACCAATAAATATTATTTTCTTTAAAGCATTTCTGAGGCTGTTAAGAAATGTTTACATGACATCTAGAAATCTTGAGGATGTGATAAGCAAATGTCCAATTACAGTTTTAGAACTCTATATTTAAGTACTGTTTATTGTTATGTAAATGAATAACACATCATATGGGTATTATTTCCTTAGCAGAGGCATTTATCCAGAGTGATGCAAAGAGTTAATGAAGTTTTATGTGGTGAGGGTATGACAAGAAACAGCAGATATAAATGCAAATGTGATCAGGACAACAAGGGCAAACACAATAATACTGGTATATTTAGAGCAGGTGCAACACAAGACCAAACTTAAAAAAGGGAAATGCAGCTCTCCATATAAAGCTCAGCGGAGCACTCTGCTCCTCCCACAGTTTTTCATTTTCACATACCCTGTCGACAGAGACCACTTCACTTGACCTGTTCAACCACAGCCCAGTAAAACCACTTCAGAACTCTGAAAGGATGATGGCTCCATGCAATAGAGGTAAAGATGAAGGGAAGATGCCGTCTCTGCCAGCGCAACTGAGAGCCCTTCAAATGTGAACTGTCGACATAACTGCAAGGCTTTGAGCAAGTGAGCCAGGCTGGTGTTGGGCTGCTCTCACTCTTAAAGTCTCCCTGCTGAAAACGCCACCAAAAACCATGTAAAACCTATTTGCTTTAAACACTCCTGTTCTCATTATATTCACTGAATCTGAAAATTGCAACGCTATCTAAGGAAAGGAGGAAAGTCGGAAACATTGTTAAAGACAGCATGGCTGAGATGTCAGGCCTTGCCACAAGTTTCTCTTTTCAGACCCCTAAAAATGAGCAGGAGCTGAATTATCAGACACGTTTGAAAACGATCTCAATGCTCATCAGATCTCTTCCAGAAAACATTAATATCTGAAGTGTGTTTCCAGGCTCCATGGTGTACACTAGAAATATTTGCTGTGTATGTTGTAATAAATGGCACTTCAAATTTATGGTACGTTCGGGTTTTCGGTGACTTGGCTCTTGCAGTGACAAGCCTATAAACAGTCCAAACTGCCAGTGTGCGTTTATTAAATTTGGTAGGCTAATTGGAATTTTCTCAATTCTTTCATACCCCAGGGAGTACTGGATTAGTTTTACAGACCTGGAGTGTAATCAAGGGCTTTCGAAAGCCAAGTAAGGATGAAGACAGACAGCACTTCTTAATCAAAATTAAGTTACAATTTAATTACACCGCAAGGCAATCTCTTCTTCGTAATGTTCTCTGTTATTATTAGACTATGTACAACTGGCCAAGCCACAGCAGTGTCTGTGATGGTGGAGGATACTTCCAAACATCCATCCAGTATAGTTATGAGTGTTTAGTTACGGAAAATGTCTGTGTTGTCTTGCATTTACCTTGGGTTAACACTTGGAAACAATGGATTAGTGTTTTTGTTGTGTTCCCTCTGAGCAGTTAAGCAAAGACTACTTCATGCCCAGAGAAACTAATAATGTAACCAGCACAATATAACTCTAAATCCTCCATGTACCCAGTCTCTTGTCCAAGAAAAACTCAGACAAAATCTTCTTTGAGGATGGGCAATTTCCTGTGAATCTATCAGTGTTAAGTACTTCAGGGCTCTAATAATATAACTCCACTCTGTTATTTGTGAGAATGAAACACAGCTTCCCTTTCCAAATCTTTGAGGAGCCTATAAGAGTTGTCTGAATATGATTGTTAATATTATTTATTTAAGAAATCTTGAACTGTTCCAGGGTTTTCTGTAGCACATTGCATCCTCTGTACCAGGGTGAAAGGTTAGTGTGATCTTAAAAAATCCCAGAATATTTCTTGAAAAGAGTAGAGGTGTGACCCCGATATCCTGGTCAAATTCTATCCTGGCCTTTACCAATCATGACCTCCTAGTAATCCCCATGTATGAATTGGCTTCAACATTCTGTTCTCCTCCTCTCTAATAGCTGATGTGTGGTGAGCCTACTGGCATACTTTGACTGCCATTGCATCATCTAAGTGAGGGGCTACACATTGGTGGAGGGGAATCCCCATAACTGTAATGTTCTTTGAGTGGAGCGCCCAGAAAAGCGCTATACAAGTGTAATACATGATTATTATGGCATTAATAATTGATTTAGGTGGTAGCTGCATGATAATTCAGGATTGGATTAAAAACCCTACAAGATGGAAGACTTAAACAAATTTCCTATACTGTAAGTGGTGTTGCATTTGCATTAGCCTTACTTGCTATCATGCTTTTATGATCTGTGACGTAAAAGATATCATGGTACTAACGCTGTGAAGCTAACAAATTTGTGAATTTTCCCATAAAATTGCCTTCCTGCAGATTTTCTTTGACATTTATAGCCACGTGGCTTTAATTTTCACCTAAAGAATGGGCTTCAGCCTACAGTCCCTCCAGAACTTTCGTACTGTATCAGATTGTGTCTGGATTTTATTATCTCCTTGCCTGAGGCTGCCTCCTCAATCCAGTTAAACTGCCAATGTACAATTTATTGCTCTACAACTTGAGATTTATTTGACACTCAAACAGTTAATTGAACTGCTCAGCTTTCAGACCAAGCAGCAATAAGGGCACTCTGTAACACACCCTGTAGAAACCAAGCACACAGTACTTAGATATGATATACACTTAACAAAAATATACACTTAGCTGATACGATCCCCAAGTATAAAGAAAAAAACTGTGAACAAACTAAAATTTTACGGTAGGCTATCAGCTTGTATTGTACAGCTGCAATGTCACTAACTACTGTAGGGCATTATTTTTAAGGTTAAACAATACCACAACCAGCTGTTTTCACAAATTAAATCATAAACACACTAATGACTCAACTAAGCTGAAGCTAAAACATTCAGTCATAACTTACTGAAGTCAAGGGCAGAAAGAATTAGAGGAAACAGTTGTAGTGAAGCACTAAGATCTTCTCTACATTTACTGCAACAGTACTGAGAAATAGGTGCCAAAAATACAGAAAATCATAATTCCTTTATTACTGTATTAGACAAATTAAATAAGGTTTACCTTATAATTACCTTCAGCCTGTCATATGTGGTTCACACAACTCAATTTGTGCTTTTGAGCATATATACCCCAGCTTCTAAAGTAGTGTGGAGAAGTTTGTATTTTTTATTTTTAATAGATTCTTTTAGGATTTTCATTTAACTCTGTATGAATTCAACATTTTTTAGAAATGAGATTTATTAAGGGACCTTTGTAAATGAAGCCACAATGACAACCATGCAAAACCCATGGCAGTGAACAGAACCCACATTCACAAAAGACTCGGATCTGACAATGAATCATTTGTTTCTCGCAGTGAATGACAGGAAGTTGGGGTGAACTGTTGCAGCCCTGACTGTTAAATTACTAACTTTGCTTCAAGTTTCAGTCTGAAGACAACCTAGACTTTCCACACAAAAAAAGTCTGCAAAAACAAGGTACCACGAAGGCCACACCTAGCCTCAGAGGATATCACGATAAGTGATGTCTATGAAACCCTCTTCATAAGTCTAATGGCACCCCAGGGGCATCCAATATAACAATTACTTCCTCTGTTTTCGCCAGGTCCCATTAATTATTCAGCACTATAAAACTTCTCCCTCTCAGTAAAACAAATGAAAATATATTTATACATCACTGATGAGAAAAAACGTGTTACACTTGACGAGACATGAATACTCAACATAATACTGTGTATTATGATAAAAAAAGCAACGGTCTGAAACACTGCTGAAGATGTGGCAATACAATGCTTTAAAGAGAACATCTCATTAAGTATAAAAAAAATGGACAAAATGACACAATGAGGCCTGCCTTAATAAAATGAGCAGCCATTCTAAGATAATGTTAATTTTCTCACAGTTTTTTCCTTCCCCTTGTGTAAATATCAACCTTTTGTGGAATCACTAGCACGAGACTTGGGCTGATGAACGAGACCAACGAGCTGCAGCCTTGGGTGTTTGTGTGTTTCCTACTTTCTGCTCGGTCTTATGTGCCAGTAACAACATCTCTACACAATGTTTGACCATTGTAAAACTCTATTTCAGGATCTGTTTTTTCTTTATCAAAAGTGCTTCCAAATACCCCAATTTTGGCTGGTTTAGTTTTCAGAACAGTTAACAAGGGATGAAAGCACAAAGAAATATGTGTCAAACGTAAACTTCCTACAGTGTTTGTAGGGACATTCTTATCTTTTTTAATTATACACAGTTCCCCAGTAAGATTTTTTCTACCTGACTTGTGGGGCATCCAAGAGGGAAGGACATATTTGTCCATCCAGATACCCATTTCATAACTGCTTCTTTCAATACATGATCACAGGGGAACTGGAGCCTATCCTGGCAAGCAACGGACACGAGACAGGGCACACCCGATGGGACACCAGTCGGACATATTTCTAATATCCGCTCACTGAGCTTTTCCGGATCAATACACAATACGATCCTAAATGAACACTGGAGATTTCCATTCGGCTTTGTGTGTTACTGTGTGAAAGAGTTAAAAGACCAATTTTGTTGTTTGTGGATTGAAATGTCTTCTTCTAGCTCCCAACAGATTTGAGAACTTCAAGCCCCCTCCCACCCCCCAAAAAAACAAACAAAACAAAACAAGCGTTAAGTTCTTTTTAAATTTAAGTTACCCTTAATAGTGAAGACTACTGAAGTAACAGTGAAGGGGGTGGGGGAATTTCTGACAATGACAAGGAACAGTGAAGCTGTGAAAGAAGTGGAAGAAAGCACACACAGCAGTAAGTATGCTGTCAAATAAATCACAGAAATGGAACATTCCTAACAGTTCAAGAGGAGAAGCAAAGATCCCCAAATCTGTCTCGAGGTTTGGACTGGTGCCACCTGTATCAATACAACAGGTCATATTTAACATGTTCCACACATCCTGGTATGCTGGGCCCTGAATCTCAGTCGCTTCCACAATCCATTTTTTAATTTAAACTGGATATGTATGAATAAGTCTCATCTTGTGCTGTTAAGTGTTTCAAAGCATTTATTATGGAGTGAAATTCAAAAGAAAATTGTAAAATGAATGGGTAATATGGAAATTAATTGCTTAATAAGTATGGCAATTATTTATTTAATGCTAGTGCAATTATTTTACCAGCAGTGAAATCCTGGATTCTACTATGGGACATAAATGCAACTAACAGGCTTCACTGCAAGACCAATATACAAATATATATATATAAGAAAATCTGTGAATTATTGTGCCAGCTAAAAAAAACATTAAAAATATAATGATTATTCAATTATGCTGATCAAATATACAAAATTCAGCTATACAAAATAAATAACACAAAAATACAGAGTGGTATTTTCAACCTGTTTTTAGACCACTCATAATCAGTACTTCACAGTTTTTAGTACAATTAAAAGGCACTTGAGATGCTTGTCCAAGATTTAAGCACATATTCATAAATAAAAGCAGAGCTTATAGAAGGGAAGGAGAGAGGAACAAGGTGTCATTTATGGGGGCAAACATACTTGCTAGGAGAAGAACTCAAATGCCAGACTTTTTTATTCCACTGCACTTCATTCCTCAACTCCTGCAGTCATGACAACCAAGGCCTCGTTCGCTTTGAGGGCTTTGAATTTCTCTCATTTCAGCGCTGTTCATGGTGCCTATGTACAGTAACTGAGTTGGTACCTAAAACGAGACCTAGTCCCTCTGTCCTAGAACTTACACCTCACCAAGTCTTTACTCAAAGGCACTTTCTCAGTTTTCTGTCCATTTGTTGTTTAATCACATGAACGAGTCCCTGAAATCTGGCCTGATTTCCATGGGCATAAAGACCGCTGCTATCACAACCACTATACGCTAAAACCTGCCCTGCGCCTCCAAGTACTTAATGACTACCATCTCATTTCCAATGAGTCTTTTCTCACAAAAATCCTGCAGAGGAAGGTGTCATTTGCCACAGTACAGAAACCTAGAAAATATAAGAACTTTACAAATGGAGGGTCAAGAAACCATCTTGGATGTGGATATGCGAACGCCCAACCATAGCCACGTACCTGATGAGGACACACTGGTTTTCAAGGCGCTTCCACAGGCTGCGGTAACACTCGTTGGCGACAGCGAAGATGTGGGGAGAGATTTCCCCCAGGCGGTGTCTGCTGTAGAGCTCCACTGCAGGGTGGTCATACAGGTTTGGAATGAACTGGTAAGGGTTCACTGCTGCCAGGATAGAGCCTATGTATGTCTGAAAAAAAAAACACACACACACATTAGATGCTGCCTCTATATACTGTATATATATCAAACTGTCCTACTACCAAGTACCATGGAGTGACGCCACAAACTGTTTCCAACAACCCAGTGATTTAGCAAAGAGTGGCTAAGATATATTTGGCTGAAACACACCAATACGATTTAACAAGCACAAAGCTGAGGTTTAGCGCCGAGCTCAACTTTGTACTTTATCCATCGAGTCTATGCGTTCCCTGAGGGAATGATTTGACACTGTGAGTTATTGAAGGCTTGCACAAAAGTGCCTCCCCCAGAGCTGTGGGAAACAAAAAGACTAGAAAACCAATGTTCCCCCTCAGACATACCTGTCAAGACATCCACTGTTTTAGCAAGGAAAGGCAAAAGCCAGACATGACAAAATGTGATCATGTTTGGTAATGAGCCCCACTCTTTTTTGATAAGATTGTTTTTCTCCCAAATTTTGAAAACTATCAATCTAAGCTTTCCTTGGTTCTTATTACCTTTCTTTTATAAAATAAGACCGCAGGGACAAAGGAAGGAGACAGGAGGATGAGATGGAAAACAGGAATTCCATCTCCATTCCAGAAGTAAACATTCTGAAGAGACCCTACTCTTCTCTGCTCCTTGCAACATGGAACTTGTTCACATTTAGTTTTTTACTTAACAAACAAAGCATGAAAAAAACAACTTGTGTCTGTAGCAAAACTTTCATGTAGGAGTAGAAAGTACGTTGCATATTTACTGTATAATGGGAAATATTTAGTCTTCAAATTATTTAAACCAACTAATGTAAGGCCTTTCTCACCAAGAATATCATAAACTAAAACACTGAAATATTTTGTTTTTACTATTTTTTTCTTTGAACACATCCAGCACCTAATGTTCAGTTGTGGCTTTTTGCTCCCTCACTCTTTTTTTTAATTTGTTGTGTTAGTGGCAGAGGAATACATGGACCTTATAACAATAGAGCAGAAAATTAGTGCTTTAACTTTTGACCTCCCACTCTGGCCCGTATCTGTCCTTACTCAGATGTCGTGCCTATGGGCTGAAATAAAAAAAAAGAATCTCTCAGGTACAGCATGTCTGGATGATATATGGTAACAGAAATTCACGTTTATATTCTTTATACTAATAACACAAAACTTACTAGCTCAAATGTTAACAAAGACATTTTTTATTCCTTAAAAGTACCTTACATTCCAAGATACTCTTTAGGTCTAATAGCTCTTGGCTTATTGTACAACTCTGGTACAATGAATCACTTAAAACACTTTTGGAATTGAGCTACCACAGCCAGAAAACTCTGCATCCATTTTTCTCGAGAAAAAGTTTATATTCTTCACAGAGCTTCTGTGCATAATCTTGGTATTGAACACAGCTTCCCTTGCTCCACATACAGGTCAACGTGACCAGAATAAAGTCTTCCTTATACTGTTTCTCTGCTGATTTCATTATCTGAATATATGTGTGCTGCTTCAGGGCATGTCTTAACTTTTCAATCTGCTAGAACTGGAACGGACTGAATAATTAAGCTTTGCCGTAATCAGAAACAATCGTAAACATAGCCAACTCTAAAGTCATGGCTGCTTCTATAATTAAGGTACTTAAGCCGAACATCTTTATTAAACTGGTAACAGTGGATAAACAGAGATTCAAATAAAAATACAGCAAAAGGAAATCAAGAGCTTATTGCAGTGCTGGTTAGGCCAAATAACCAATGTACCATTTGACAGAGCTAATCATTGTTAAAAGTCAGATGGGAGTGTGAAAGTAGGGCCAGAGCCTGAAACTCAATACTGCCTTATTAAATATACTATATTATACTATTTATGTATTTATTTTGAAAAAATAATTTCTTTAGAAAACAATTATGTAAAAACCTGTCTTTGAAAATGATTAACTGACAAAAGCAACTGTAGAAACAGTGGAGATCTGCTCTCACAATTAAATATCTTCAGGTATTTCCAACCTGCACTGAACACTCTTAAGAAACTCTTAAGAAAGCCATGAAACAGGAATCTGTAAATTATGAAGTGATACAACTAACCGCAGATAATTAAACTGATTTCTAAAGCACTCAGGATTTGATCTGAAACTTTATACATGCATAACATACTGCCATGTAGGTAATACAGTTCCCTACATAGTATAGTATGCTTGTTAGCTGCCTCAAACAACTGTATTTCCAATCAGCTTTCCTTCAGGCCTTCAGCTGGTAACTAAACATGATCTCATAACCAAATACATTCGACTGTGAGCTTGGAAACCATTTGTATGCTTGGAGCTTTCCACTGCCACATTTCTCACAGTCATTTATAACTACCAGTGTGGAGAACTTACATTTCTCATCATCATTTATTACAACTACTAGTGGAGAGAACGAACGGGCCTCACAATCATTTATTACAACTACTAGTGTGGAGAACTCATGTTCCTCACAATAATTTATCATTACTACTAGTGCAGAGGATGCATGGGTCTCAAAACCATTTATTCTCCAAGTCAAAGCAAATCAATGATGGGTTGAATGCAGAAAAGCAGGTCTGCTTTCAGTCTTAATGTGGTTATGTTTTTAATAGACAAAGCTGAATTCATCCTTTCCCACACTTGAAATCCTTTTTTCCAAAACACAATAGAGCTGGAACTTCTTTAATTAAACAAAAACTGCTAATTAGGGTTTTTAGATTTTTTTACAATGTTCACAAAAGAAGAGATAGCAAAATGCAGTGTTCATAAGTTCATATAACCAAATTTAAAACAGATTAAATTGTATTCACAATTATTCACAACCAATTTTCAGAGAAACTCTACGAACGCCCAATCAGATGAAATATTTCAAAATGTTATTTTTTCTTTAATTACAGTTCTTCAGTTCTACAAAGTCAGTTCAGATCAAAGCCAGGATGAACCGATTCTGTAGAATGAAATACTTTATTTCACAGCAAACTCTTTTCAACTATGACAACGAAAGGAATGCATGATCAGTCAGCATCAGTAAATTCTAGAGCTGTAGCTGTTGATACTTACTGAAAAACGTTAATTCACATCAGGATCATTACATGACAATGATGCTAATGATGATGATAATGATGACAAACTCTCAAACATAAAACTTTTTTTCTAGCTAACCAGACGCGATTCTACAGATTGTACGCAAGCTAAGCTCCTTAAACAACAAATGTGTTACAAAACCCTTCATCTGGATAACCAGGGCTGCCTCAGTATGCTAACACACTGGAGGAACACGATGAGCACAGAGGTTCTCCTGAGTGTGGCTGTTCTTCTGGGAGGCCTGTAGAGCCCTGTGTCTAACAGGACCCTTCCACATAAATCTTACAAAGCTGCTGAAGGAAGCAGTGGGCTCTGTGCAAGCTTTGCCCTGAGCAGGCTCTGATCATCTTACCATCTGTGTACACAGCCATGTGATGCTATCTACTGGGCCGCTATGAAAAAAACGTGAAAAAATGAAAGCAACTTTGCAGATGTAACTGGAGTTAAGGATCAGAAGCCATCAAACACACACATTACAATCTAAGTAAACACTGTCCTTTGAATACAGAGCACATGTCATCACGGGGTGCCTTTGATCAGATTTTATTTTGTTAAATCTCATTAAAAGGTCTTAGTCTACCCATTTGAAGGCAGACATTTTTCATTTTGTGTTGTTTCTTAACATGCACAAAAGATCACAGATACTGTTGCAGGACAGGCTTTTTGTGACTGAAAAACAGCACTACAGAGGATGTATTCTGGGCTTTTGTTTAGCACACAGCAGATGTAAACCATTACATACACACTGGGCCCAATTAGTGCAGTTTAAAACTCTCACAGCTAACCTGATGATTGATCTATAGAGGGCATTCCAAAGAACATCAGCTAGCTACTAAATGGTTGAAAAGAAACAAAAGCAGGCATCTAACATATGTCCCTGCTGCTGCTCTCTCTTTTTGTTTTAAAACCTTGCAATCACAAGATATAGAAATAACAAAGGCAATGTTTTGAACCAGACATATCTTCTATTTCTACTAACACTACTAAAACAGGGTCAGTGTAAAGTTGTTAAAATATGCAGCTTTAACACATTGGGAAAAATCTATACCAATATTTTTCTTATTTACGTAATTAATTAGTTTTTGTCAAGTTTAAAACCCACATTTACTTATTTCAACCATTCAAACAACCCCAAAATTCTGTTTGCTTAAACAGAGAACCTTTTGCTGGAACGCAAAGGTTACTTTGAAGTCCACAACCAAACATTATCTGACAGGTTCAGAGAATGTAAAGTAACTTATTTGAATGGCAGTTGAAATGCCAAACATTTACATACCTGACTTTAAAAGATACAGTATCTGTGTAACACAATGTCAATGAATTGGCACAAAACTTGAAATAATAATAATAATAATAATAAAACTAATATTCTGATAATCACAAGACTTAAGATAAAACTGTACAACTGAATGCAAAAGGCAAAAATACAATGTTAACAAAACAGTTGTTAACACATTTAGCTGGTACAAACACAAATGCAAACTAAAACTGGGATACAGTTCTAGGAAAAAGTTCTATAATCAATCTTTGTTATCTGATGTTGGTAAAATCTACACATTTGGTCTTTTTCAATATTGTTTTATTTTTCCCCGATTTAAAACATTGTTGGGTTTTGGATCTGAATCAGGTTTCACCCATGGGATATATACTATATTACAAGATAATTGTGTTTTTTGATCACCGTCACTGGACTTTGTGTTCCTAACTCCTGTTAGTGCTGAACCTTGCAGAGAAGATATAAGCTGTCTTTACTATAAAAAAGATGAAAAGATGCAAGTGAGCAATAATTGTATACAGTACATGCCATTAGAACTACAGAACTAACAATAGTTTCCACTTATTGCTCCTGGAGTATATTACAGTTCTTAAATCTGTTACAGAATAGCAGTACATCAAAACACAGAAACACCATCAGCAAGAAAAGCAAAAAACCTTAATAAA